TGAGTAACTCAAGCCATCTTCTTTGCCTCAGATTCAGCTCCCTTTGTTTGAAAATATATTGAAGACTCTTGTGGTCCATGAATACATCCATATGGACCCCATACAAATAATGACGCCAAAGTTGCAATGCAAAAACCACCGCCGCAAGTTCGAAGTCATGTGTTGAAGGACTCTACTAGACACGGCTCTGAGACATCCTAGGACACTTTAAAATCATAGGCTCTGATACCAAGTTTGTCACGGCCCAACCTCGAGAAGCGCAATCGGCGCTCAACCGAGTGAACCCGGTCGTGCAAGCCTGTTAGATATATTCTACCCAACTCACCCATGATCAAGAAAAGACGTGATTTCACTAATTAGACAGTAGGAAGTTCATACATACAATACTAAATCGTTTCATTTGTTACTTCACTACTAAGTCTCAAAATACACATATTTTTATAGTTTGAGTGGAACAAGTGATCAAACACAACATAACTTGTTTAACATTCCCAACACTCATATACAACCCACATAGTGTCTACAAAGCCTCTAAAAGATACAAAAGCGTCTATGATAGTGCCGGCAACAAGGCCCCGGCTATACCTTGAGGCGTGATAATAATATGAACCAAAAATACAATACGTGACCTCGGAATGAAGTGGGGCTCACCAAGTCGGCTGGGAAGAGGATGTGCCACTATCTCTGATCAACACTGCCTGCTATGTAACCACCTGCATCCATTTAAATATGCAGCGCCCCCGGCAAAAGGGATGTTAGTACCGTCGAATAACACTAGTATGTAGAACTAAATACCATCTTAATAGAATGAATAATAATACAAGGGAAGCAGTCAAGAATTCAATACGAGCTTCAAATAACATTAAAATATCAGGTTAAGGATCACATAAATTTTCAAGTCAATTTCCATGTTATTAGGTTGGGTGATATTTAGTGCCGATATTTCACAATTGACAATACCACTGTATTCTTACACGGAGTCCGATCACGACCCGATCAGCTAGGTCGTCTCACTTGAGACATTAACCATAACCACAATTTCAATAATCAGTTTCAGCACAATCACCACCATGTGTGCGGCATGGTGTCCGATCACGGCCCGATCGGCTAGGCCGTCTCACCCAAGACGTTACCTTTTTCAGTCAATCATCTCACATCATAGTTCTTTCATATCTTTTCAATTCATTGGCATTAGTGATCACGATTACAAAGTCATTCTTGGCACTTGGCCGTATTGCATAGTTCCAGTTCCCCTTTTCCACATTCATATATCAATATTATTATTAGCAACAATAAGGCTTCCCATTCAAGACATTAAATTCACATATGAGCAATTTGGGCATCTTAGGCACATAAAGGCTTTTCATACAATTTGGCTTAACAACCTTTATTTCAATCTTGACATGAAGTCTTAACATTTCTAACACATATTCCACATTTTGAACACATTCTCAAATGGCAAGATGACATGATGAAGCATTTAGAATAAATACTTAACATACATCCTTCAACATAAACACATTAGGAATAGCCAATTCTATAATGATCAATTTGGGACTTACACCAATTTCATGAACACCGTGGGATTCGATTTTAAGAAGAAGGAGGTTTAGCCAACATATCTCAATTGAGCTTTATTTAAACTCTAAAACGTTCCGGAATTCTTAGCACTTCGATCTATTTTAGAAATATAACAAGTTAGACCAAAATTAGGAAGATTATCATGATTCTATCTCATTTGAGCATATTATCAAACACTAGGTGTGCATCAATATTTTAAGGCCCTTTTGTGAATGATTCCATCATTCCCCAACCCATTCTCTACCATGCTTAGCTCACAACATTCCCACATACTTCAAGAATACATGCAAGCAAGACAACAACCCTCACACCCAATAATTGTCACTTTAATTATCCCATTTTATTTTATGAATTTCCGAAATTGATTGCTAGGACATAGATTCTTATCTTTAGGATGAAGACTTTCTTTGTTAATCCTCAATGATTGAGCATGAATTGATGGGTACTAGGTTGAAGGTCACTCTCCCACTCTAGGAACTCTCTCTTACTCTAAAAGTATCAGATATATGCTCAAAATGGACCATAACATATGTTTTAACGAAATAGGATCGGGTTTACATGTGACCGCATAATGGTTATGTGATCCGCATATCGGCCACATAATTTGGGTGCCAAAACTGGAAAGGAACTGACCGGGTCTGCGGTGACTATGCGGCACGCAGACCCATTCTGCGGTCGCATAATGCGTCGCAGACCAGTTCTGCGGTCGCATAATGCACCGCAGAACCTCCCTCCGAAAATTCCCAAAGCGGGATATGCGACAAGAGTGCGGCCTGCGATACGGTTATGCGGTCGCATAATGGGCCGCAAAAATGACATCGAGATGACCCAGAAAATTGCTCCACTCTACGACCATTCTGCGATCCGCAGAGTGGTTCTGCGGCCGCAGAATGGGCCGCAGAAATGCCTACTTCTGCCCAACATTTTCCTTCAACTCCCCAGCGCACTATTCAATTCAAAAGGTCTAAACCTAAGCGAGCAAGGTCGCCGCGAATAATTTCTACTATTATTAACCTCTACTCCTGCCCCTACATCACAGAACCCCGATTTTTAGGAAACCTTTCACGTGGCCTTACATGGCTATTCAATATTTATGGACAAAAGTGATTAAAAGTCACTTACCTCTTGAATTATAGCCAAAACCCTCTCAAATATCGCCCCTATCCGAGCTCCCAAAGTCCAAAATGAGATAAATCATGAAACCCTTCGTTTAAATCCTTTTGTCCAGGCATTTCATATTTGCGATCAAATTATTCGCTTATATAGAACCACTTCTGCGGAACTCACTAATGCTCCCGACCTAGCGCACATGCGTCCCCCTCTCTGCACCTGCGAGACCACTTATGTGATCGCTCCATCACTTCTGCGCTACCATACCTGCCGAGACCTTCCTTTCTGTGATCCCCAGTCCTTCAGTCAAAATCCGCTTCTGCGGAACTTCTTGCGTAGGAACGCGTCCGCTTTTGCGAATTCACCTCCGCACCTGCGATCCCAGGCTGCCTTCCCATTTCTCGCACCTACGTCTACATGGACGCTTCTGCGGCTCTGCACCTGCGGCCAAAACCTCGCAGGTGCGATTACATCAGAGTTGTAGCCAACAACAATTCCACAAGTAAAATTTCCAATCTAATTTCAATCTGAATCTTCCCTGAGGCCCCTAGGACCCCATCCAAACATTCCAAAACATCCTAAAATACAATACGAACTTAGTCGAATCCTCAAATCACATCAAACAATATCAAATTTACGAATCGCACCCCAATTCAAGCCTATTGTAATTAATGAACTTTCAACTTCTAAAATTAATGCCGAATCATACCAAACCAGCTCCGATTGACCTCAAATTTTGCACACAAGTCATAAAAGAAATAACGAATCTATTCCAAATCCTAGAACCAAAATCTGAGCTCGATGTCAATAAAAGTCAACTCTCGATCAAACCTCTCAATCTTCCAAATTTTCAACTTTCTAACATTCGCCAATTCAAGCCAAAACAACCTACGAGCCTCCAAATTAATATCTGGGCATACTCCTAAGTTAAAAATCAGCACACGAAGCTATCGAAACCATCAAAACTCTATTCTGGACTCGTCTACATAAAAGTCAAACTTCGGTCAACTCTTTCAACTTAAGATTCCAACCTTGGGACTATGTGTCCCAATTCACTCCAAAACCTCCCCGAACCAAACCAATCACCCCGACAAGTCACATAACTAAAAATAAACATAGAGAAAATGATAAATAGGAGAACAAGACTAACATATTCAAAACAACCAACCGGATCGTTATATATCCTTCACGTGTGTGTTCCTTATCTCACTCTCTAGATCCTCTTGTGGTTACATCACCCTTAATACCTCCACAATTATCTGTCCCGCATAAATCTTGTGTGGCTTCTCTAAGATTCCTTCCACAAATTTGTCCTTCATCTTCTCATTGTTCTAATACAGTCGTTCTGACACCATCTATTGATCCATCTAGTGAGTCACACTCTATTGATATTTCCCCATCCTTACCTACCTTGTCTCCTACTACCAGTTCTTCCGCTTCCACATCTACCATTGCATCTCATCCAATGCAAACTCGTTCTAAATTTGAAATTTCTAAGCCTAAGAAAATATTTTCATTGAGTGATACTCTTCGTGATATTAAGCCCTCTTGTTTTTCCCAAACTGCAAAAAACTAAGTGGAAACAAGCTAAGACAGAAGATTTTAATACTCTTTTGAAAAATAAAACTATGGTAATTGTTCCTTTTCAAACTTATATGAACTTGGTCAGTTGTAAGTGGGTTTATTGTATCAAATATAAATTGGACAGGTCTATTGAGCGGTACAAAGCTTGTCTTGTAGCACGGGATTTTTATCAATAACTTGGTATTGATTACCATGATACCGTTAGTCCTATTGTTCGAGATACTACTATCCGTATTGTACTTTCTCTTGTTATTTCTTTTTCTTGGCCTATTCATCAATTAGATTTTAAAATGCCTTTTTACATGGTGTTCCCATTGAGGAAGTCAGAAAAACCCTCCAGGTTTTATTCATCCTGTATTTCCTCACTATGTTTACAAATTGACTCACACCATTTATGGTCTAAAACAGACCCCGCATGTATGGTTTTATCGCTTTAGTACATTTCTTCTTTCTCGAGGTTTTATTTGTAGCTAATATGATACCTATATGTTGTTTCGTCATTCATCATCAAGATTATTATTCTATTGCTTTATGCTCATGATAGCATTCTAACTGGTAGTCATTCATCTCTCCTTGATCAGTTCATTAGTCCTTTTCCCCTTCAGTTTTCCATGAAAGACTTAGGTGATTTTCATTATTTTCTTGGTGTTCAAGTTGTTCGCTCACCTGGTGGTCTTCATTTATCTCAACAGAAGTATATTTAAGACATGCTCCTTAAGTTTCACATGCATATTTGTAAGCCAGTTCTCACATCTCTAGCTTCTCGTACTTCTATTCCTCTTATGGATGGTGAGTTACTTTTAGATCCTAGAGAATATAGGAGCATGGTGGGTGCTTTTCAATATGTGACCTTAACTCGTATTGATATTGCATGTGCTGTGAGTGTTGTTTCTCAGTTTATGCATGCATCTCGTACTACTCATTTGCATTATCTGAAGCATATTTTTAGGTACTTACATGGTACTATTGCGCATGGACTATTCTTGTGTGCTTCTTCATCCAACTCATTAGTGAGTGCTTATTCGGATGCTGACTGGGCTGGATGCCCCGATAGTATACGTTCTACTACTGGGTTTGTCATTTTGTTGGGTTCCAATATTATCTCTTGGCGTGCGAAGAAACAACCGACAATCTCAAGATCGTCTACAGAGGCCGAGTATATGGCTGAATAAATCATAGATTCGTCATGTTCTTCGCGAGCTTGGTCTATCTTCGTGAACCGATTCAAGTATTGTGTTACAACATCAACTCCACATACGTGTCTCGTAACCCCGTATTCTATTATCGTTCAAAGCATATTGATGTTAACTTTCATTAAATTTGTGACAAAGTTGCTCAAGGGATCTTGTTGTCCAATATGTGCCTTCTCACTTACAACTTGCTGTATAAAAATATTTATACAAAGGGTTTATCCTCATCCAATTTTTATTTTTTTTGTGGGATCATTTGTCCGTTATTTCAATACGTCCATATTGAGGGGGCATATTGGTACTTCTAGTCCATGTACTTGTAGGGATTAAGAATTTGATTCGTATTGTACTACATTACCTACTTCCCTTACCCTTTGTATTTACTATATATATGAACAACTCTGTAGATTGGCTTTTGTAGCCTTGAAAGCATTTCTCTATATAGGCGGAACAAGTGAATAGATCTGCATATTAGCTTTGTGGTGCTTGGTACTAGGGACGGAGCTAGAAGCCCGACATAGGTTCGGTCGAACTCAGTAACATTTGCTCAAACAGAGTATTTATATTAAAAAAAAAATACTAAATATAATAAATATTAAATTTAAAATCCAGTTATTAGCACTTGCAATTGCTGATCTAAAAACCAGAACTCTTATGATTGAAATTCGAACTTCACCTCTGCTTGGAACCATCCTTAGCCAAATAATGTTACCAAATACCCTTCTCTAAAGTTATATCAGATCACTGGATTCTCCAACTTGAACATCAACGACCAGCGAATCATTGAAGTAGAATCGTAAGTTGGACAACCAATCTCTAGAAGATATATTACCTTTAGGGTGCGTTAGGTATGAAAAAATATTTTCTAATTTTTTCATGTTTGGTAAGCTTAAATGTTTTGCTCATCAACTTATTTTTCTTCAATTGGAGAAAAATATTTTCCCTACCTAAAGGAGGGAAAATATTTTTCAAAATTCTTTTTCAACTTTTCCTACCCCACCAATCCCCTCCAACCCACCACCCCCATCCCTCCGAAC